GAGGTTATGATCTAGAGAAAGGATTTGACAGGATTTTAACTTTCAATCTTTATCATGTTGCCTACAAATATACCAACTTCCTGAGAAATATTGACAGTACGTGGTTAGAGTATATTTTAAACAAATGCCCTCGCTTGATTACTAGTTGTCATGGGTCCTAAATCAGTACTTCATGCCAGCCCTAGTGACATTTCGGTACACCAGCATAGGGACAATACCAGATTACTCACTGCATGGCTGCATTTCCCTGATTCCATCTGAGCTCCCTCTCGGTCTTCCAAAGACCAACCCAGCAACACAGTGGAGCTGTCTGAAGGAGCAGAAGTCCTTGTACATGGAAGGGATTCCCAAAGGAGTAGGGTGTTTCCTACTCCAGTTTCATAAAACCAACAAAAACCGAGCTCTATCTTCTTATATGGTTGTCTAATTGAGAGTCCCTGAAAATTCTATTTTCTTTGACTTGGTTTAGAGAACAGCCCTTGCAAGATGTGGTGAGGGGGTGGGAGAAAGGCTAGGGTGTGCCTCACATATGTTGCCAGAAGGGCCCAGTTACAGCATCTGCCAGCTCGCTGTTCAGAGCGCGACCCTGATAAGGGTGAGTGACAACAGCATTTAGATTCCTCATGCATCTAGTGAACAGAACGGGTTTATCTTGCAGAACATTCGGGAACTGACCAAAAAATTGACATTTTTCTCTCTTCGTGTCCTGTAGGCATCTCCATTGTCAGACTTTAGCCTCAAAATCATCTTAGGTCCTGAAGCTTTTCGTTATGCCTCTTTCCAGTACTTTGGGCTTGCTTTCAGGCTTTAGCTCAGCCCAGTCTAATGTAAAACGTCAATGTTATACTCTATAGTCAGTATAATAATCTTATGGTGGCTTGGAAACGTCAGTGGAGAGGAGCGACGGCCTGTCTTCCCTCCTGCGGTTCCAGTTCTGCTGTTTCCACATCTTGTCCCTTCTCTGGCGTGCTGCCGCCGGAAGGCAGGCGTGGGGAGAGGCGCAGACCTCCGCGTCCCTTCCGACGGGCGCGGTCGTGGGCTGACAGAAGGCAGGCGTGGGGAGAGGCGCAGACCTCCGCGTCCCTTCCGACGGGCGCGGTCGTGGGCTGACAGAAGGCAGGCGTGGGGAGAGGCGCAGACCTCGGCGTCCCTTCCGACGGGCGCGGTCGTGGGCTGACAGAAGGCAGACGTGGGGAGAGGCGCAGACCTCCGCGTCCCTTCCGACGGGCGCGGTCGTGGGCTGACAGAAGGCAGACGTGGGGAGAGGCGCAGACCTCCGCGTCCCTTCCGACGGGCGCGGTCGTGGGCTGACAGAAGGCAGGCGTGGGGAGAGGCGCAGACCTCGGCGTCCCTTCCGACGGGCGCGGTCGTGGGCTGACAGAAGGCAGGCGTGGGGAGAGGCGCAGACCTCCGCGTCCCTTCCGACGGGCGCGGTCGTGGGCTGACAGAAGGCAGGCGTGGGGAGAGGCGCAGACCTCCGCGTCCCTTCTGACGGGCGCGGTCGTGGGCTGACAGAAGGCAGGCGTGGGGAGAGGCGCAGACCTCGGCGTCCCTTCTGACGGGCGCGGTCGTGGGCTGACCGCAGCGGCCTCTGTGAGGCGGGCAGGGCCAGATGCTCTTGGAGCACGTTGAGTCTCTACGGGAGGCTTCCTGCGCAGTTCTCTGAAATGGGGAATGACTCTTCCAAACAGGGCAAAGTACAACCTTCCCTTTATTTATTCAAGAGTTGTATTCCCTAAATATCAGACTATGTTAAAAAGGCACCCAAAATACTAGGCGTCTTCATGTACAGTGAAGCTAAGTTCTGGGCTCAGGGAGGTATAAAGAGTCTTTTCACCAACGGGACATCTGAGGGGGTGGGGAGGCGGCACAGCTCTCTCCTGGGTGGGAGGGTCCTGTGTGTTGCAGGACGTCAAGCATCCCCACCTCCTCCCACTAAATGTCAGGGGCGGCACCCCCACCCCCTCATCATTGTGACAGACGAAATTACCCCTTCAAATCTCCAGAAACACCCCGCTGGCGGTTGCACTGCCCTCAGTGAGGCCTCTAGCAGGTACTTTTTGAGCATGAGGACACATTACCGCCCCTTCTCAACTCTGAACCTCTAGCTGAATCTTGAAGACAAGGTCCTGACTAAGGAAATCACTACAAGGAATTTCAGATTAAGCTACACTTACTGTGATATGCACTAAGAATACAGATTCTCACAAAACTGTGATAGGGTAAACTTTTGCAAATGAGGAAACTCAGGACAGTTATGTTATTTATCAGAGGCCATTCAGTTCACAGGTGGCAACATCAGAGTTTGAATCACAGTCTTCTGACTCCAATGTACCATAATATCAGTTGGATTTATATGAGAAAGATAGAGCAAAGAAAAAACAAAAATCATGTTTTAAAATGGAGCCACAGATCAAGTTTATACACATAAAACCCTTGCCATAAAGTTCCATAGACTGCCTAAGGCTGGACCACAAATTTTGTCCTGAAATAAAAAAGAGGGAAATATTTTCAGTGACATGATTCACAAAATCTAAAAGATAAAGAGAATCACTATCCATAATTTTATTCTCACCTTTCTTTCTAAACTTCTGTTGTCCTAATTATCTATTGTCCTCACTTAGCATTCAGTATGAGGTAGTTTGTACAGTTTTTTATCTTTCTGTGCATGTTCTCTTAACTTTAGACTTCTCAGAGCAGAGACCATTCCTTATTGCTTTGTAGTTTTTAGTGCATACATTATACAGATTCTGCAAGTCAATGAGTTTTCTTTTTATTTTGTCATTTTTATATGAAACTCTAATAGAGTATAGATTGTCCTAATCGAAGCAGAGGTAAAGGTCCAAGCCCCCTTTCTTCACCATCCCCTCCACCTTCCTGCACACCCATGCACACCCAGGTCCCACCCACAGCCCAGCCCTGCTGCGGATGCACCGAGCTCTGTGGAGCACACCTTCAGGAGGGGGGCACCGCCAGTTTTCCTGGAGAAGGCAATGGCACCCCACTCCAGTACTCTTGCCCAGAAAATCCCAAGGACGAAGGAGCCTGGTAGGCTGCAGTCCATGGGAGTGCAGAGTCCGACGTTGACTGAGTGACACCACTTCACTGCCAGTTTCAGCAGGATGATGAGCGCCGCATTCTCTCATCCAGGACACCAGGAATTCCTCGCTCCGCTTGTCTTTTCTAGCCAAAGTGGGGGAAAGCATTTTTCCTGTCTCTTGCAGCTTCAGGAGACCTTGTTGGTTTGAACTCAGCCCACCCCTTTCTAAACTGTTCTTTCATTAAATTCCCACCAGTTCTACCCCACGACTGTGCTAGTTGCTTCCTGACAAACAGCAATTCACCACAAATCGATAAAAACCCACTTGCCAAAAACTAATTTGCTGACTTACTGAAGTTGTTTTCCTCAAGATTTTCTCTCTGCTGTTGTTCTTCCTCCCCTCTTCCTCAATCCCTACCCTAACCCTTGCTTCTGCCCAGCCTCTCCCTTTTCTGCATCTTCAGGCTGTCCTAGACTCACCTTAAATTTGTCCTTTGGGGGAAAATTAACTTTCAGTTGACTGGCTTTAAACAAATTTGCCTTTGGCTAATTGATTTTCAGTGAACTGATCATTCAGAATCTTGCTCTTTCTGAAAATTTCTGAAAATTAGTCAGTAAATTTGACTTTTTGAGAACTTCCTCTGAACTAGCTTCGAAAAACATTGTAGAAGCTTGATTTTGTAAAAAAAAGAAAAAGTGATGATGCTGTTGATGACAATCTTTCTGTTTAAAAAGTTTTCATTTACTTATGGCTGCACTGGGTCTTCGTGGCGGCACATGGGCACTCTAGCTGGGAGATCTGGGCTCAATAGTTTCAGCATGTGGGCTTAATTGTCCCACAGCATATGGGATCCTAGCTCCCCAACCAGGGATCGAACCCATGTCCCCTTCATTGGAAGGCAGGTTAACCACTGGACCACCAGGGAAGTCCCTAACTTCTCTAGAGCCTGCATTCTCCTTTCCATCCTCATCACTGCTTGCTGATATCCTGACTTATCTCTTGCCTGGTTCCAACCCAGTCCCCAACATGCTAACTTCTTTCTAAAATACAGATCTAACTATATCTTTTATCTGCTTTAACTATTCCAATGGGTTCTTAATACCTATTGGATAGATGGTAAATGCTCATATTTGGCAATGAACTCTTCTTTGACATTCTGGTTCCTGATTATTCCTGTCTAATTCACACCACACTCACATCAATTGATTGACTTGCAGCGTACAGCAGCATTTACAGAACTGAAGGAACTTTTTTGTGCTGTTCTTTCTGCTCGGAAATCCTTTATACTCCAACTTCCTGATATACATGTCTTCCCTGTTTTGATCAGGGGTCATTGTGGTAGCCAGGTTTTAGCTGCTATAGGCTGTAATAAAAAATCCACAAATTTTGTTTGATTGCAACTGTCATTTATCTCAAGCTCACAAGTTTGTGGGTCAGCTAGGGAAGCTCTGTTTCTGGCTGTGGCTTACAGCTACCCTTCCTGTCCCTCGTTATGGGACCTGTGGCTACCAGGTGCCTATTTTTCTCCTGGTGGATGCCAAGTCAAAAGAAGCAGTCAATCACTAAACCACATTTAAAGCTCATTAACACTCCATTGTCCAATGCGAGGCATATTTCCAAGCACAAAGTCAATGGGATGGAAAAGTTTACTTTGCCTATTTCATAGTCAGAGTTACAGTTATGTCCCATGGATGCATAATTCTGTTAGAGAGAGATAGTAAAGACCTGGGAACTATAATTCAATTGGTCTTAATCATCTTGGCATGAAGCTTCCCCTAACTACCACTAGCCCTCAACAGAAGAGCTGTTTCTTTCTCTGTGGATCCACTTCACCATAGATATAAACTCTATGATAGCATCTTAACAATAGACATAATTCTGTGATAGCATCTTAACAGTAAATATGTCTTCTTCTGTTAGATGATAAATGCTTATTTTATTCCTTTTTTGTTTTTACAGTTTATCACAAACCCTGGCAGACATTAATAAATTGTTGTTGAATCAATTATTCAATTTTATCACTAAATACATTGAACAGAAGAGCATAAAGAGTCTAAATGGATCATGCCAACATTTGACCAGACACAAACAAGTTGTAGATCATTTAGTCAAGTTCATAAAGAGAAGAGGACTTTTATAACCCATCTCTCTTTGAATGATGTTGCTGCTGCTTAGTCACAAAGTTGTGCCTGACTCTTTGTTACCCTATGGACTATAGCTCTCCAGGCTCCTCTGCCCATGGAATTCTCCAGGCAAGAATACTGGAACGGGTTGCCATTTCTTTCTCCAGGGGATCTTCCCAACCCAGGGATCAAACCTGAATCTCCTGTGTCTCCTGCATTGGCAGACAAATTCTTCAGCACTGAGCTACCTGGGAAGCCCCTGTCTTTGAATACATACACTAATGATAGCCAAAGCAAAGAGGTGATGCTTGCAACAGCATGCTTGGTTTCTTGTCAGCAATGGAGCAAATGTTCAAAATTTTTTTAATCCAGACAGTGGGTGGACACGGTGGAAGAGAGGATAAGGTGAGGGGCTGTCAGGAGGAGGAAAACTCAGATGAGAAAACAGTCTTGAGACTGTATTTATGAGAACATTTTGTGGAGCTCTTTAAATAGGAAAATAGCTGCTTTTAAAGCAAAGATCAGTCTGCTGACAAAAGAAAAATGTTCATTGGTTATAAGGTTTTATAGTTAATGCACAATAAACTTAAAAATATCTCAGAAATATTGTACAGTGTTTATTTGTAAGATGAGATTAAATATATTTATGAAACCACATTTTAATTAACATAACATTATGTTTTCAACAGGCCATAATATGTCTTCACAGGAATGTGATTTCCAATGTTTACTCAAGCTCTTTAAACTGAATATTGATTATAATTTGTTTTTTTACCAAGTAATCACTCATTATGCCTCATTTAGTTAGATTGTGCAAGATGGGGAAAATATTGCCAAATCAAAAAGAAACTAGAGTTTTAAAACTACATATCAAACTCTTCTAATTTCTTATTCATCATAAGACTATTTTTTCACCATCTGCCTCCCAGGTCCAGCAAAAGAAGCATAAGAGTAGAATTAACTTACTGTCATTCTCTGGATTCAGTATTTTTTTTTTTTTCATCATCTCTAAACTTGCAGAGTTTTCTCTATAGAGTTAGGTCCCCTAGAGGCTAAGAAAGACCTCAAAGTAAGAATTCAGATTGCCTGACAAAAATCTATTTTCCTTTGAGCTTTAATTTTTAATCTTTCCTGTTGGAAGATAAAAACTATCTTAAACTCCTAAACTTCTAGGAAGGGTTTGCTTACTGATCTCAACCTGTCTGGATCCAATTTCCACCACCTTCACTTCACCGAATCTGCTTTCATCAGAATCATCAAAAATCTCCCTGCCCTTCTCCAAGGTCAGCACTCGTTATTAGTGTTCCTCACTCATCTGGCTTAGCATGTTTTCTCCTCTACACACTATTTTCCTGATGACTTAACTTGACCCTCAATGGTACCCCCATGGCTTCTGTTCCCATCTTTTTGCTCCTATCAAATTCATCATGGCAACTAAGACAACCTCACCCCTGGCTGCCCAGTCCCCCAGCCTCAGATCAAGGTAGTCACGGCCAACCAGTCATATCCACATAGTAGTTTTCAATGAAACTCAAATTCAATTTGTTCCACACTGGGTGATATTGCCATCCACATACAGGTCAAGTGAGAAATGTAAAAATGTTTCTTGACTCCTTTTCCTCCTCTGCCCATTACTTCCAATCAATGATGAATGAATTTTTTCCCCTTAACACTTCTTGAATGAACCTATATCTTTTTGTCTTAACTGCCATTGCCTAAGGTCAGGCTCTCATTAACTCTCACCTGACTTGTAAAGACCAACTCATCCCCAAATCATTTTCTATGCTGCAACTGGGACTTTTGTCTTTAATACAGATTTGACTTAATTATATTCCTGCATTAAGCCTTTCCATAGTTCCCTACTGTCCTCACAATAATTCTTAACAGTATAAAAGACTCTCATGATAACAACTCAAATATGTCCCTGGTCTCATCAGATATTATGCTCTCCAAGCCATTTTCACAAAAAATTAATTTCTCCAGACATACTGAATGGCTTTCATTTCCTAAAATGCATCATCCTTTTCTTTCTAGGCTCTAAATGTGCTGCTTCCTTTGTCCTCCACACATCACCTCTTCCCGCATCAACTCAAATACTGCCTCCTTTGATTCATCTTCTTGACTTCTATGAAAGCTCTTTACCTTACCATCTCCAAAAAGTAGCTTATAGTAATCAATCTACCTTTGCTTAAAGCAACGCACTGATGCTCTTAATGCATTCCTTTACTTTGCCTTCTTCTCTGTAAAATTTTTGCTTTGATTCTAGATGTGAGATTAATCTTGTGCATTTACCTCTAGTACCTGTTTCACTACTGTCTGCTCTGAACTCCTGAGGTCCTCGTGCATAGTGGCCAAATGATGTAGTTAGTTAGGAGCACAGACCCCAAAATGGGGGTCTTGCCTTTTCTACTTACTGATTTGTGACCTTTGACAAATTATTTAAATTCCTGTGCTTATTTTCCTCACCTGTGAAATGAAGACAATAGGATTGTTTAGAGGTTTAAGTGAGTTACTAGATATAAAGTACTAAAAACAGAAGCTGGTACCTAGTAACTCTATACATGCATTATTGTTATTTATGAACAATTAATGCTTCAATATACTCTGTTATTCTTGAACTGCATTGCCTCTCTAATATTCAGCCTTAATAACTTCTTGTGGATTTACTACAGCCATGAAATTAAAAGATGCTTGCTCCTTGGAAGGAAAGCTATGACAAAGTTAGACAACATAGTAAAAGCATAGACATCATTTTGCCAACAAAGGTCTCTATAGTCAAAGCTATGGTTATTCCAGTAGTCATGTACAGATGTGACACTTGGACCATAAAGAAGGCTGAGCACCAAAGAATTGATGCTTTTGAACTGCGGTGTTGGAGAAGACTCCTGAGAGTCCCTTGGACTGCAAAGAGATCCAAACAGTCCATCCTAAAGGAGATCAGTCCTGGGTGTTCATTGGAAGGACTGATGCTGAAGCTGAAACTCCAATATTTTGGCCACCTGATGCGAAGAGCTGACTCATTTGAAAAGACCCTGATGTTGGGAAAGATTGAAGGCAGGAGGAGAAGAAGATGACAGAGGATGAGATGGTTGGATGGCATCAACAACTCAATGGACATGAGTTTAGGTAAACTCCGGGAGATAGTGAAGGACAGGGAGGCCTGAAGTGCTGTGGATCATGGGGTCACAAAGAGTCAGACACGATTGAGTGACTGAACTGACCTGAGTCTAATGCTGGCCTGGTGGATCTGATCCTCCAGTTTTCAGGATGGGAATTCTTTACCTGAGGGGAAGAGTGGGAAAGTCTGGCTTATGGGAGAAAGATGAGCAAAAAGACTAGAAATAGGTAAGGTGACACCATCTCTAGGTGTCCTGTCTCTGAGCAAAAGTCCTGGATGTAGAAAGCATGCTGAATAATGTAAAGGCAGCGCAACACACAAACACGTACCCACACCACCACCGCTGACGAGAACGGCAGGAGAGCCTTTTGCATCTCTCTTCTTTGAGGATCCACAAGCTGTGTGAGCATATGGTCTGAGTGGAGGGTCTGAGTCTCCATCTAACTCACGGCATGAATGTGTTCAAGTCACCTTGAGTTCGTGGGGAGGGGTGTGGAGAGCAGGCAATGGTAGTGGTCGACCAGCTCAGGTAAAGGAGGGGTGTCACTGAAGCGCATGCAAAATGCTGGGGGACCTAAGGCCACAAGCCTGTGCTCAAGTGGGAGTTACTGCCTGACCTCAGGAAGAGCAATGGAACCCGTAGTAGCTGAGGTAGGGCTGACAGAAGGGAGGGTCCCTGAGAAAGCTGAGCTCATTGCCTGAAGAATTCATCTTCATATTCCGATAGGTTGCACAGTAGGTCAGGTAGAAGGAACACTGTGTGAAAGCCGGAAGAGCTGCGGGCCCTGCTAGGCTCTATGCAGAGACCCCCTACCACCTCCCTCATCTGCTGCTATAAGTATGTAAACTCTCCACTCCCCACTGTACATGGCTGGTGAGTCTGTCTGTCTGGTGGAATCTATCTGTCTACAGCACTGGTATGGGGGAGGAGGCAATTTCTGGAAGACAGTTACATAAAAAAATATTTGTATTATTAGATCAAATTTGGTTTTCCAAGTGGGGCTCAATGGTTTTCACTACAGCTCAGATACAGCTCATGAGAAGGATCAGATGCATTCTGGAAAAGCATCAGATGCTTGAACAACTAAATTAACCTGCAACTCTGCTACACCCTTGTGGCTCAACTGGTAAAGAATCTGCCTGCAATGCAGGAGACCTGGGTTCGATCCCTTGGTTAGGAAGATCCCCTGGAGAAGGGAAAGGCTACCCACTCCAGTGTTCTAGCCTGGAGAATTCCATGGACTGTATAGTCCACAGGGTCACAAAGAGTCTGACACAACTGAGCAACTTTCACTTTCACTTTTCTGCCCCACGTCTCTAAAAATGCACAGAAGGCAGTTCATACATTCTCTTAAAGTGACTGACTCTCTGCGAGTAACTGAATTTGCCTCCAAATATGTCAGCTGGTGGATTGGTGTGCCGACTTTCCTCCAGGGAAGGTAATTTCCTGACTGGCTGCTGTTTACTTCACATTTTCTAAGCTTCCTTCCCTCTCAGGGGCACTCCGTTGGCAAAGGAGTTAGCTGAACTAAGGAGAAAAGGACTGCTAGTAGTTCCATTGTTTCTTCAGTCAAAACAATGAAAAATCTTTAAAAAAAATGTCTTTAGCCCCTTATATGGTGGGAGCTGATATGACAGCTCTCACTGGTGAGGCTGATCCTACACAGGGGTGAGGCGGGTGGGGAGGGGGCTGGGGGTCTCAGCGGGGGGCCGGGTGAGGCTGAGGAGCCTGCCAACCAGGGCAGTCTACACTGGCTGGAGCCCGGCCCACCTGTGGGGAACTTGAGGGCCCTGGCTGATTCCCCCTTTAGTGCCTCATGCTTCTTGCTGCTGCCACTTTTACCTTCTGCAGTGTGGAAACAGAAATCTTGAGAGCCATTTAGATACATTGGCAGGGGT